TGTGCGTACCCCTCCCCCGGGCGGGGTACGCACATCCATATGTCGACCCTGCAGGATCGGACGGTCGGGCGGGTACGTCAGGGCGCCAGCGGGGAACGTCTGCGCCTCCTGGAACGGGCTGATGGCCTGTGGTACGTGGCATGTATCGCGCCGAGAGAGGTCACAAACGGGGAGGCAAGAAGGTTAGGGAAATAACTAGCAAGGGTACCAAAAAATTAAGCACATATCTATGGTACATCGTAGTCTATATCACGAGAAAAACAAGGGGAGACGAAGGGGGGTCTAAGTGGCCGAACATGTGAATGAAACGGACTATTTTGGATACTCGACACTCGATACTGATCTGAGAGGATTCTGGGGGGTGATTTGTGTCGGTAGGGCCGTTCGGCGCCGGCTCCTCCAGCAGGGGTCCTTTGCTCTCTCTCTACTCCACCCCTCTCAAGAAGGAGTAATATGTTTCAATCTCCTGGGGTCCACAGTTTCTCTCTGTGCTTCTGACAACATCCTGCCTGTGCCTCCAAATAGAGAGAAACAGGAGAGACAGCATTATCGCATAAGGGTGTGTGTGTGTGTGGTAGACACGGACCCAGGCGGTTACGCACCGCGAAAAACCTCTTGATCTCCCCAGCATGACCCGCCCCCCCCCCTCTAAAGATTGCCGCCCAACCACCACAAACAAGCGCCACCAACGCGCACCTGGAAGCCCTCGCCGTCCTCGCTATCGAGGGTCGCGCCGTCCAGCGTGCTGATCACCTCGAACCTCGCCCCGTGGGTGGCGTCCGGCTTGAGGTTGACCGCGCAGAAGGTGACCGTGTCCACGTCCCTCCCGTCGTCGTCCTCCCCGACGGACATGCCCAAGGGCCCCGTGGCTCCGACCAGAGTACCCGACGCGGACAGCAGGGAGTCGCGCATCAAGGCGCCGTCCGCCCAGGAACCGTTCCTCGGAAACGGGCAGCTGGGGGGATTCGCGGCGGCGGCGGCGGCCGTGGCGATGGCAGCGGCGGCCACCAGCGTAGGGACGGCAGGTGGAGGCGCACGTGACGGTTGTTGGATTTAGGGGTTGGTTGAGGTGGACGTGGATGTACACGAGCGGACCAAGGGCAGGAGGAGGAGGACGAGGGCAAGCGGGATTGTACCATAACATGCCTCCGTCTGGCGGCAAACACACCTCCTCGCACACGCCCCTTTCGGAGCACCGCGATTCTTTATTTCCCGCCCGACATTCACGTCTCAGCCGGCCGATGCCGAGGAAAGTAAAAAACAAAATAAAACACACACAAACACTACAAGGCCAACTTCTTTTCATTGGTCAGCCGGTTAGCAAGGTCGAGACTAACAACAACAAAAAATGAACACACACCTCAAGCACAGACAAAACAGCAGAAAAAACTCTACGCAACTTGTGACGGTTCTGCTTCTCACCTGTCCAGCACTATCCCTTGGAGCCCCGAGTCGTTCACGTTCGCCAAAGTGAGCGTGTCCTGCGCCATCTGCAGCCACCGCGGAAAAAGTAACGGACGGGACAAGCAGGCGGACAAGGGGGAAGGGTACAACTTCAGCTCAGCGAGATGAGTGGGACAATTTGCCGGGCGAAGGGGTGTGCCGGTGCACACCCAACACAGAAGAGTGAGGGCGTGAGGGACTGGGTAAGGGAGTGAGTGACGGAGGGGGAGCGCTGCCGCCTGTTAGCGACAACAGAGGAGACGACAAACACACACAAACTTGTGTGTTTTCAACCGCATTGAGACTGATGCCTTTTCATTGGTCAGCCAGTTAGCGCGGTCGATGCTAGAAAAAAAAAAAAAAATACACGTACCACCCCGCCGTCCCATCTCAAGCAAAACCCATCCTCTTCCCGGTCGACACCCCTCGAGCGGACAGCATCACATTCAAGGAAGGACAAGACCAATGTAAAGCGCTACTACCGCATATAGCAACTGCGGCATTTGCTGCTGCTGCTGCTGCTGCTGCTGGCGCAACCAAACCAACCAGTGCACATCAAATCGTACCCCGCTGCTTCAGCTAGGGCGGGACGACAGCGTCGGCTGTGGCATCCCGACTGGGGCTGGTCCTCCTAAACAACAGTACCGAAAGGCTTGATGAAGTTAACGTCCAGAATAAATGCAACAACAACACGCCCACACATAACGCCCCTTACGGGGTCTCAGATCATGGCATGTAAAAGCATTTTTTGTTTCCAACCGCACTGAGACGGACGTCTTTTCATTGGTCAACCGGTTGGCGCGGTCGATGCTAAAAATGTAGACACACACACACACACAAGCTGCGGCCTCGTCACGACCCTCACGGGCGGGCAGGCTAAGAACACATAAGTGGCTCCATCCATCTCACAGCCTACATCTGGCAGACAGTGCCTTCGACCCTTCGACGGCGGTGGTATCTCCTTCTCTCACGGAATCACAAATCTTTGTTTGGACAACGGATGGGTACAACCTGGATTTCCTGCTACTACTACTACACAGCAGTACAGCAGTACTGCTGCGGCGGCTGCGGATACTGGATTCCTGGACGTGTTCACCTGAAGGAAAGCCAAGAGAACCTGCGAGCAGGACTTGGCTCCCTCGTGACTTCCAAGTGACTTGCTAGGTTCGGACGAGGGCATGTGTGGAGCTATGGCAGTGTATGTATTGCTATTTTGTTTGAGTCATCTAGCTGCTGACACGATGACTGTTGGATCTTGGGAGTGTACGATTATCAAATTGGGAGATGCAGCATACCACGATATCCTGGCTTCGGCTGGGCTTGAAATAACCCTTTTGCTGTCCTCCGCTCTTTGCATCAGTGGCTTCCTAGGTTCGGACGAGGGCATGTGTGGAGCTATGGCCGTGTATGTGTTGCTATTTTGTTTGAGTAATCTAGCTGCTGACACGATGACTGTTGGATCTTGGGAGTGTACGATTATCAAATTGGGAGATGCAGCATACCACGATATCCTGGCTTCGGCTGGGCTTGAAATAACCCTTTCGCTGTCCTCCGCTCTTTGCATCAGTGGCTTCCTAGGTTCGGACGAGGGCATGTGTGGAGCTATGGCCGTGTATGTGTTGCTATTTTGTTTGAGTAATCTAGCTGCTGACACGATGACTGTTGGATCTTGGGAGTGTACGATTATCAAATTGGGAGATGCAGCATACCACGATATCCTGGCTTCGGCTGGGCTTGAAATAACCCTTTCGCTGTCCTCCGCTCTTTGCATCAGTGGCTTCCTAGGTTCGGACGAGGGCATGTGTGGAGCTATGGCCGTGTATGTGTTGCTATTTTGTTTGAGTAATCTAGCTGCTGACACGATGACTGTTGGATCTTGGGAGTGTACGATTATCAAATTGGGAGATGCAGCATACCACGATATCCTGGCTTCGGCTGGGCTTGAAATAACCCTTTCGCTGTCCTCCGCTCTTTGCATCAGTGGCTTCCTAGGTTCGGACGAGGGCATGTGTGGAGCTATGGCCGTGTATGTGTTGCTATTTTGTTTGAGTAATCTAGCTGCTGACACGATGACTGTTGGATCTTGGGAGTGTACGATTATCAAATTGGGAGATGCAGCATACCACGATATCCTGGCTTCGGCTGGGCTTGAAATAACCCTTTCGCTGTCCTCCGCTCTTTGCATCAGTGGCTTCCTAGGTTCGGACGAGGGCATGTGTGGAGCTATGGCCGTGTATGTGTTGCTATTTTGTTTGAGTAATCTAGCTGCTGACACGATGACTGTTGGATCTTGGGAGTGTACGATTATCAAATTGGGAGATGCAGCATACCACGATATCCTGGCTTCGGCTGGGCTTGAAATAACCCTTTGGCTGTCCTCCGCTCTTTGCATCAGTGGCTTCCTAGGTTCGGACGAGGGCATGTGTGGAGCTATGGCCGTGTATGTGTTGCTATTTTGTTTGAGTAATCTAGCTGCTGACACGATGACTGTTGGATCTTGGGAGTGTACGATTATCAAATTGGGAGATGCAGCATACCACGATATCCTGGCTTCGGCTGGGCTTGAAATAACCCTTTTGCTGTCCTCCGCTCTTTGCATCAGTGGCTTCCTAGGTTCGGGCGAGGGCATGTGTGTAGCTGAGATGTGTGTCTTCGTGAAAGAACATGTAGAGAGAGTCGTATTGGCATTCGCATCAAGCGCATTGCGCATTTTTCGAATTTTGGCCTCCTTCCAGGGACCTTGATTTTTACCCGCTGGCACTGACGTCTTTCAATTGGTCAGCCGGTTAGCGCGGTCGATGCTAATAATAAAAACACACACACACACACACACGAGCGACTGACTGTTAGTAGTTGCACCCGTTTCGGCAATCGCTCTGTATCGCTTAGTACAACCAGCAGCAAGGCGAGAAGCTTAGCCCGCAAAGGACAAGGATGACCCTTCATTCCATCCTTCCTAACCCATACACGCCTGACACGCGAGAGGCAAAAATGTGTGTGTGTGGGGGGGGGGGG